TTTTCCATCTAAATTACACAAAAAGAGGAAACCAAAGATGCCTAGCAGTGCACAATTCACATGAATTAAGTTGGCTGCTATTAGCAATTGTTTAATTTAATAATAATAATAATAATTGAATAATTGTTCATTTATGATACACCTTGTTAGTAGCTTGTACTTGAGATTGTTGATCAGTTGATCAAGAAAAATATCTAGAAAAATGAAAAATGTAGTAATTTTCCAGGACATTATCCATAACCCGAAAACACAAAATACAATGCGTAATTTAAAATGTAGGTAAAAAAACGTGTGAATAATAATTATGGAAAATTCCTTCATATTAATAGATTTTGCCCTATTTTTACAGACTTTTCTTAGAGTGTAGCATACGAACTACTAATACACTGCTTAAATCTATAATCGTTCAGAATGAGTAGTTTTACTAGTTTACTAGCTAATAAAAATAAACTTAAATTGTAATTGTTCAAAAATGTGTGTTAAATAATTCAATGTTGTATTTAAAATTAGTTATTTATATTTTAATATTATATTATGCATTTATATTATTTTATAAACGCATCTAAATTAACATATTTACATGTTTTTTTTTGCTGAGATTTGATGCAGTGACACAATTTTGCATCGTGATTACGCAATGACGTCACCGCGCAATGACATCGCGTCATTTAGCAACTTTTAGCAACAAATCAATCTTCCTTTAGCAACTTCCCCTGAAAATTAGTTGGCAACACTGATGGGTAAGAAGCATTTCAAAAAGAATAAAGGAATCAGATTGAGCTCATGCAACCCATTTTGAATGCAGCACTAAGCAAACTGCTACGTGCAAAATGGCAGAATCAAATAAAATAGGAGAATCAGGAGACCTTTGTGAGAGAACATGAGGCAGAGGAGATGAAATCAGTCTGAGTAACCAACCGCGGGATATAGAGAGAGACCACCAGCACATGAAAAGCAGAGCGGAGAAGTGGATACATAAGTGTGCTGAGTGAGTGAAAGGCCAGCGAGTGGGCGGACAGAGTGAGTGTGCCAGTCCGAGTCCGAATCGCCCCTCGTCGTTTCATCAGCCATTAGCTACAGGTCACAAAACGCATCCACGCCACAATCGCCTAATGAGCCGTCTTACGGCGTTTAGCGATAAAACGATAGCCTGGGCTATGTTAAAGGGGAAAGGGAAATCCAGCATGACAGGCATAGAAGATAGAATCAGTAACTGTCTGTGTTTATTACATGTTGTTGTAAAGCATGTTGGACATGCTCCTGTGGAATTTGGGTAATCTGCACCCATAGAGACCAAGCATTAAAGTAACATTCACCTGAAAATGTTCTGAAAATGTCCTCACCCTCAGATCATCAAAGATGTAGAAGAGTGTTTCTTCATCAGATTTGGAGAAATGCAGCATTACATCACTTGCTCACCAATGCATCCTCTGTAGTGAATGGGTGCCGTCAGAATGAGAGTCCAAACAGCTGATAAAAACATCACAATAATCCACAAGTAATCCACACCACTCCAGTCCATCATTTAATGCCTTGTGAAGTGAAAACCTGCGTGTTTGTAAGAAACGAATCCATCAAGACATTTTTAACTTCAAACAATTGCTTCCAGAAAATATCTGTCTCGTCTGAATCAGGAGAGAAATATGCACAGATCGTATTTTAGCTGGAAGCAACGGTTTGAAGTTGAAGAGATCATAAAGAATTTGTTTCTTAAAAAATTGTAGCTTTTCACTTCACGAGATGTTAACTGATGGACTGGAGTGGTGTGGATTATTGTGATGTTTTTAACAGCTGTTTGGACTCTCATTCACTGCAGAGCATCCATTGGTGAGCAAGTGATGGAATGCTTAACTTCTCCAAATCTATTCAGATAAAGAAACAAATTAATCTTGGATGGCCTGAAAGGAAGGAAATTTTCAGCAAATTTTAATTTCTGGGTGAACTACTTTAGTATTATTGTTGTCCCATTTATTATGCAGTTGCCTTTAAAAAAAAAAAAAAAAGCATATGACACTTGAGACCATGCTATATTGTGAAAGTGCTGAGGAAAAACAGTGAAGTTCAGGTATGGAAAAGCATGTTTGTGCTTTTTGCTTTACAGCACCATAATGAGATTTATAATTATGCACCAGAAATGACAGAAAAGAGGTGCTTGACATTTTGTAAAATTGCCTCCCAAATGAAAGTCATAATATAAAAAAAGAAAAATCAGCTCAAAGTGAGTCAACACAATCTTCATCTGTCAGTCCTCTATGCTAATGTGATTGCTTAATTATCAATAGTGATCTAATTGCTCTCCTACACAAATAACGTCAATTGTGACAATGACATTTTGCCAGAAAGTGCCTGGAATTACAGCATCTGCAATAGTTGCAAGCACTAAAAAGATCCCAAATGCAACATTCATTCATCAGAAAGAAAACCACAAATGAGACCTATTAAATACATCAGTTGTTTCTCCTAAATGCCAATCAGATTAAATGAAAAGCCAACTGATGCTTTTGCTTAAATCTCACGTTTTCAGATTTTTGTCATTTCAGCAATTCAGAAATACAGCACTTTATATATCAATATCAGGCATTGAAAAACCCATATCGATCAAACACTACAATCTAAAATGCATCTCCTCTAGAGTTTAACAATAGATCTTAACAATGTCTTAAAATCTGATATTAATGTCCATTTATTTTTAAGAGAAACAGAGACGAAGTTTATATTTAGAAGAAAATTTAAATTTTGTAAATTTAAAGTAAAATTAAAGTTGGTGCAAATGAACACACCTTAATTCATGACTACAACCTGAACGCAGTAAATAAACAAACATTTTAGTCTTTTAAGGCACCATTCACATTATCCAAAGCAACTTTCAAATGAGCGAGTCCACTAAAAGCCCAAAAGCTAAAAGGCAAAGCACAAACCAAATCTGTCAGCCGCTAAAACATCCATCTGAACTGGAAATCACCCTTTAAAAGCAGCTCTGCTCTGAACTGACAGCTTAATGGACTGATTCCCCCCTGAGCTTAACAAACTTCATATATTCATGAAACTAAACAAGGCCTTTCTGTGCCACTTTTTTTAAGCATAAGAGAGCCCAACAACTACAGTCATTTTCCCATAGGGATTTAAAAACAAAACCTTTAGTAAAGACTTCCAAGTCATTAACCAAAACCTGCTCCAAGATGAAACACAACATTATAAACTTTAAATTTAAAAAAGGCTTTAAAAACTCAGCAGTGATGAGGAAATGACCTACTACTATCCCACATAAAGCACTGTGAATAACGTAATCAAATTAGGCACAACAACAAAATGTAAAACTACTGATTACAAGTCACTTATATGAGAATAAAAGCTCTATTAACTTTTTTTTTTTTTTTGCTTGTTTGTGTTTGCAAATACCAGTCATTAAAGATATGTTGTTTCTGCAAGTTACTTTTAAACAGTAAGTGGCGACAAATGACCATCTTTAAAGGAGACATATTATGC